GATATATATATATATATATATTTAAACATTTATTATAGACTATATATTTATTAACGTTACTCGAAGAATATCCAGGTTATGGGTTACTATCTGCATTTATTATCTTGTATGTAGGATAGGCGTTTTATGTATTGCGAATGCATAATGCTCTATTTTAATATTTAAAAATGGAGCGAATGTTAAGTAAATAATATAAAAATTCTACAGATTGTGATAATAATTTACTAACATTCGAATAAATAAATAAAATAAGGAGGGAGGGAAACATACGCTGTGAATTTGTGTAGGTGATAGGAACCTACAGATGTTTTCGACCTTGCGAAAATAAAAAAAATAATACGTAAAAATTTTAATAATTTATAACATTTCTTTTCTTATTTTCTTAGTTTATAAGAGGAAAACAAGATGACCAAACGTCTTATTAAACCGAATTTTTAAAATTATTTATGTTATTAGCAGGTGTACAAAATACGTGTAATTAAGTTACAATCGAAATATCTCTCACCTACACGATTCTATGCACGTCCTTCAGAAAACCATAAAAGAAGTTGCTGATATATCAATCAACGTATATCAACTAAGGAAAAAAAAAATTCGAAACAATCTTAAACTGCGATTATTATTGATACTAAAATTTATCAACATGAAAAAATGTGTGGAATTTTTTTAAAATAGATTTTTATAACAATTACATCTTATTTCTTGAGTGTTTTTTTTTTTATTTTTTGCCATAAAGTTGAAAGATTTGACTAAAAGATGCATTAAATATGCCTAAAAACATTGATTTTTTTAAATGTATTAATCTATTAAATTTGTTTGAGTGAAAATGTATTGTGTTAAGATACTAAAAATTATCTAAAATAAAGAGTTTTTTCACATAGATTATACTATGTAAACTTTAAAAAAAAATTAATTAATTAATTAAGGATATAAATTGAAAATGCTTGAGTTAAAATTAAAGTTAAAAATATAATTTATATTAAAAATTTCTTTAAAATATATAAAGGGAAAGCATTAAAATTTCATTATTTAAGTCGAAAAACATAGATAATAACCAACTACATTATAAATATACTGAAGTTATCTAAAGCAAAGAAAGTTGTTAAAAAAATGTAAGACAGCTGTAAACAAAAGATAATATTTAATCCATTAATAGTGAAGACGGGACCATATGGCAATGACGAAAGTAAATAGGATGGACGGATTAACAGGTTATAGAATATTAAAAGGTGCAGTAGATAAACAGATGTGTATATAATACATAAACAGTCAACGAACCGGAGTAAAGAGAGAAAGTTTTTTTTACCTTTAAATTTGTAAAGGGTCGATTCGTATTGATGTAAACTAGGGTCGTTGAGGCGATCTTCGTTATGATTGATATTATTTTCGTTCGAAAGATGATTGTTCATCATCATGGTAATCTTATTCCACTCCGATGAATTCATCGTATTTTTTAAGCCGTGGAGCTCGTCGATGTGTGCGACTTCCTCGACGTAGGCGACTTTATTCAAGGCCCCGAAGGACCGGGGACCTTATTAAGGTGGGGACATAACCCAATGTCGACACCCTTTTTTGGTTGCGGTTAAACCCACGCCGAGGGGTGGAAACGCTATAGAGTAGGCCTAGCACCAACCGGTACTGGTCGAAGGATCGGATGGCATCCGAAACGATCAAAATGATTACCTTTCGGACGATAACTTTGACGATTTTCACGTAAATAAATAACGATCGCGCCAATAAACAGTCGGCGCCAATGTCTTGTATATCGGCGAGCTCACGCGCAACTTCGCGGAATGAAAAACTTTACTTTTCTTGTCGACAGAGGCGCTGTCATAGGTTTAGTGTCGACCGGAAGCGCCCAATCACCGCCCATCGAGTAGCGCGCGACAAAAGGACTCCTTCCGGTCTTTTCCGGTGTTTAAAAGTCGTTTAAACAATTTTCGCGGGCGTCAATTTCTCGAATTATGTTTCGCTTATTATCCGGAAAATGTCGTTTAAACAGTCGTTTATAGTAGTTTAATTCGATTTATATGGCGCCGGCGCCGCCGCCGCGCGTCCAGTCAGATTTTTAGTCGTTGGATGGCTTCTACGTCCGCCAAATATTGTAAGGCGGTTTATGTTAATTATATAAAAATCTTCAGCCGTTATGTATAAG